ACTACCTGGGTAACCTGGGAAGAATTTGGGTCAGGAACCTGGTCTCTTACTACTGGAGTTTCTCAAGGTTCCGTGCTGGGTCCCACCTGTCCTCGCTTTACACCCACTTTCTTGGCGCTGTCATTCGGTCGCATGGCTTCTCTTACCACAGCTATGCCGATGACACCCCAACTAATTCTCTCCTTCCCTCACTCGGACACCCAAGTGGCGGCTCGGATCTCTGCCTGTCTAACTGACATCTCTCAGTGGATGTCCGCCCACCATCTGAAAATTAACCCCGACAAGACTGAACTACTACTCTTACCCAGGACCTGACAGTCAACTTTGGAAACTCCGTACTAACGCCCTCTTTGACCGCTAAGAACCTCGGCGTCACACTCGACAGCCAACTCTCCCTGACTCCCAACATCACCGCGACAACGCGATCCTGTAGATACACTCTCTACAACATCAGGAGAATACGTCCCCTTCTCACTCAGAAGGCTGCGCAGGTACTGATTCAGGCTCTTGTCATGTCACGCCTGGACTACTGCAACTCGCTCCTGGCAGGTCTCCCTGCCACCGCCATTCAACCTCTGCAGCTCATTCAGAATGCAGCAGCTCGACTGGTCTTCAACCTTCCCGAAATTCTCCCACACTACTCCACTCCTCCGCTCTCTTCACTGGCTACCGGTGGCTGCCCGCATCCAGTTCAAAACATTGGTGCTCACGTACCATGCTGTGAATGGATGGGGTCCAGCTTACATCCAGGACATGGTCAAACCCTACATCCCAACCCGCACTCTCTCTGCTCTGCATCTGCAAAACTACTCGTTCCTCCCTCACTGAGAGCAAAACACTCGACTAGATCTCGACTCTTTGCTGTCCTTGCGCCGAAATAGTGGAACGAGCTCTCTGAAGACACCAGGACCGCAGAGAGCCTTCACATCTTCCGCCGCAAACTAAAGACACACCTCTTCAGACTCTACCTCGACTAAAGACTAACAAATTGTAGCACTTAAATTGTACTTGTAACGTCACTCATCTATAGCAAATTGTAAATTGGCTTATTTGAGGAAATTGCACTTTCTTGTTTCTTGTTCTCCTGAGTTTGTACCCTATGGTTGAATGCACTTATTGTACATCGCTTTGGATAAAAGCGTCCGCTAAATGACATGTAATGTAATGTATCGATCATTTAGACACCAACCCGTATAGACACCATCCCTAATAGATTTCCTTGGATAAAATCATCACGATAGCCGTACTGGATGCCTTCTGAGCTAGCATGTATTGTTTGTGTCCTGTGTTTGTCTACCCTCCTCTTGTTTCTTACATAGATCTGTCACTATCTCTGTTAAGGCTGTGTTGGAACGGCGCAGTTCACTGATTTCATTTATCAATGAAGACATTTGATCGTTAGCTGTGTCCCTTGGCTGCACAATCATTGGGTTCTATAGGTAGACCCTGTCTGTTTTGTTGAAAGGCTGTTACATCACCTGTCGGCTCTTTTCCCACTTCGACTGCTTCTTTACCTGCTCCTGATGCTTTTGTAGCTCTTCTTCTTCAAGGCCACAGTACATTCTAGAATTTCCTCATCAGTCATACCATCGTAGTAGAGCCAAGGATCTTCATTTTTTGCAGACAGACCAAACTTCTCCCAGCTGTAGAACACAAGAATACATGTACAAAATATGTTATAACCTAGCAGTCTCTATATATATATATATACACTTTTTTCAGATTTACAAAAATATCACCATAAATGATTTGACAAATAAAGAATATATATCACTCAAAATAGTACAATCTTTAAAGGTTTGATTTATCATGGTATGCATAGAGTTAAGAAACCTTAATGAATAGAACCTTTTACTAAAATATGTATGTCACGGATGTAGGTTCTCGGGGCGCAGAGACAGCACGACACGGCAGGGTTGGTTGCAATACAATAGGTCTTTATTTGCAGTTTTCACACACACGGAGCAGTGAGGTCTCCGCGTCTTCCTCGTCCCGCTCTCACTGCTCTTAAAAAGACACAAACACAAAGTTAGATTGGCATCAGCTGTGCTGATGCCAATTGCTCCCACCTGGCACCGTTCCCTGAGCCACTCCCCCCTCTCTCCCGCTGCAGACGAGCCAAAACCACGCCCGCCACCACATACCCCCCCCGCCCGACTCGGACACCGCCCTACCCTACCCCCCCCCCCCCCTCAAGAGGGCGGGAGAGGAAGTCTGCCACGACCATCTGCGCCCCCGGCCTATGGACCACTCTGAAGTTAAAAGGCTGTAGCGCCAGATACCACCGGGTGATCCGGGCGTTGGTATCCTTCATGCGGTGGAGCCATTGGAGCGGGGCGTGGTCCGAACAGAGGGTGAAAGAGCGTCCCAGGAGGTAGTAGCGCAGGGAGTCCACCGCCCACCGGATGGCCAGGCACTCCTTTTCCACCGTGCTGTACCTGGCCTCCCTTTCGGACAGCTTCCGGCTGATGTATAAGACTGGGCGGTCGACCCCCTCCACCTCCTGGGACAAAACGGCCCCCAGCCCTCTGTCCGATGCGTCAGTCTGCAGAGTGAAGGGAAAAGAAAAGTCAGAGGTATGGAGGAGTGGTTCCCCACAAAGAGTCTGTTTCACCTTCTCAAACGCCTGCTGGCACTACTCCGACCACTGGATCGGATCTGACGCACCTCTCCGAGTTAGGTCGGTCAAGGGGCTGGTGAGGTCCGCGAAGCCGGGAATGAACCGCCTGTAATACCCCGCCAGCCCCAAGAACCGCCTCACCTCTTTTTTCGTCTTGGGCCGCGGGCAGGCCGCAATCGCCGTCGTCTTGTCTACCTGAGGACGCACCTGCCCGCCCCCCAAGTGGTACCCCAGATACCGGACCTCCCTCCGTCCAACTGCACACTTCCCCGGGTTGGCGGTGAGCCCCGCCCGTCTCAGGGACTCCAGCACCGCGCCCACCCGCCGCACATGCTCCGCCCAGGTGGTGCTGTGGATAATGACGTCATCCAAGTAGGCGGCCGCATATGCAGCGTGGGGACGCAGCACCCGATCCATGAGACGCTGGAACGTGGCCGGGGCACCGAACAAGCCAAAGGGAAGTGTGGTAAATTGGTATAACCCATACGGAGTGGAGAACGCCGTTTTTTCCTTGGAGTCTGGAGACAGAGGAATCTGCCAGTAGCCCTTGGTTAAATCCAGTGTCGTAAAGAAACGTGCAGAGCCCAGCCGGTCCAGGAGTTCGTCGACCCGGGGCATCGGGTAGGCATCAAACCGTGACACATTATTCACCCTGCGATAGTCCACACAGAACCGCACCGACCCATCTTTCTTAGGCACAAGAACGATGGGGCTACACCAGGCGCTGTGGGACTCTTCTATTACCCCCATCTCCAACATACTAGCCAATTCCCCCTGAACCACTTTTCTTTTGTGTTCGGGCATCCTGTAGGGACGTGATCTCACAGTCACCCCCGGGGGCGTCTCGATTCGGTGAGCTATCAGGTCGGTCCGGCCTGGCAGGGGGGAGAACACGTCAGCAAACTGCTTCTGCAACTGGGCGATGTCCATTCTCTGGTCCTCGGAGAGACGGGCCTCGTACGGGAGCGGGGTGGGATCAGCCGCTTTTGGCACCTCCGGCCCCAGCTCTTCTCTTTCCGGTACCGCGGACACCAGGGCAACAGACTCTGCCTCCCTCCAGGCTTTCAGGAGGTTTAGGTGGTATATTTGCGTCGCTCCGCCCCGGTCAGACCGCACCACCTCATAGTCGACATCCCCCACCTGCCGTGTGACCTCAAAGGGCCCTTGCCACTTAGCCAGGAGTTTAGAGTTGGAAGAAGGAAGTAACACAAGTACCTTTTCTCCCGGCGTGAATTGCCGCAGCCTGGCTCCTCTGTTGTACAGCCGTTGTTGTCGTTCCTGGGCCTGGAGCAAATTCTCTCGTGACATTCTACCCAGTGTGTGGAGCTTTGCTCGCAGGTCCAGGACGTACTGGATCTCGTTCTTGCCAGGGCTCGGACCTTCCTCCCAGCTTCCCTTAATTAGGTCCAGCACCCCCCTCGGCGTCCTGCCAAACAAAAGTTCAAAGGGAGAAAACCCCGTGGAGGCCTGGGGAACCTCCCGCACTGCAAACAACAGAGGGTCAAGCCAGTTATCCCAATTACGTTCATCTTCGCTAATAAATTTACGGATCATGGACTTCAGAGTCTTATTCATACGTTCCACCAGCCCATCCGTCTGCGGGTGATACACGCTAGTACGAATGGACTTGATGCCCAGTAACCCGTAAAGTTCTCTCAGTGTGCGCAACATGAACGAGGTGCCCTGGTCAGTCAGAATCTCTTTAGGGATTCCGACTCGGGAGATGACCTGAAACAGAGCCTGCGCGACACTCTTTGCAGAGATATTGCGCAACGGTACTGCCTCCGGATATCGCGTTGCGTAATCCATGAGGACTAACACAAAGCGATATCCGCGTGCGCTCCGGTGAAACGGCCCGATGAGGTCCATACCGATCCGCTCGAACGGAACCTCCACCAACGGCAGAGGACGCAACGGCGCCCTCGGGATGGCCGGAGCGTTTACTAACTGACACTCCGGGCAGGACGCGCACCGGCGGCGCACGTCCCCCCGGATACCTGGCCAATAAAATCGGGTCATTATCCGGTCTAGCGTTTTTTCGTATCCCATATGCCCCGCCATCGGGTTATAATGAGCCGCCTGGAAAATCATTTCCCGACGGCTTTTCGGCACCAGCAACTGGGTGTTTTCCTGCCCCGTCACGACTCACTCTATACAGTCTGTCCCTAATCAATGAAAAGTGCGGATATGATTGCGCCGCGTCAGGGCGCACCAACTGACCATCAATCCTAATCACTTGGTCGTAGGCTGAGCGTAGAGTATCGTCACGAGACTGCTCGAGTGGAAAATCTTCCATGGAGTCTCTACGAGAGGCTCCGCCGACTCGCCCTCCCCGTCTGCAGCGTCGGACGACCTCGCGTCACCGCTGAGCTCCGCGCACATACCGCATAACCCTGTCGGTCGTGAACGCACCCCCGCGGCCAGCCCCATTAGCTTATCAAATCCTGGCCAATCTGTTCCCAAAATCACAGGGTGCGTCAGGCGGGAGCTAACCGCTGCCTTCACACTATGCTTTTTCCCTCTATGCCTAAATTCTACGGACACTATGGGATACTCGTGAACGTCCCCATGCACACACCTTATTTTCACCCGTGACGCCTCCACCAATGCCCCGGGCCGAACCAGGCCCTGGTGAATCATAGACTGCATGCAGCCTGAATCAACCAACGCCTGGCGTATACCCCCCTGGATTCTTACCGGAACGCGGTACGTCGCTCCCGGACCGGGGAGGGTGTTGGAACGCCGGCAACCCGAATCACCTGCCCCACCTCCATCAGCGGACACTCTCTCCGGAGGTGTCCGGGCTGCCCGCACCTCCAAAATTCCTGCCCCGGCGTTTGAGAACCCCCCTGTGGGTCGGGAAGGGCACCGGAGCGCTCTGCGGTCGGCGGGTAGCGGGCCGGAAGGAACGATGTCCGTCGCGGGGCCGGCACGGGTCGTTCCACCGGCGGCAGCTGCCCCCCTCGCCGTTGCGCTGGTCGGGCCGGGGATGGCGTACCCTCCTCGTCCCGCTGACCGCTGGGGTGCACCGCCAGGTGATCCTCTGCGAGGGTGATGGCCGCTTTGAAGGTCGGTGGGCGGTGGTATTTCACCCACGCTGCCGTCCGGGCCGGGAGCCCCTCCGCAAACTGCTCCAGGACCACCTTCTCCATTACGGCCTCCATCCCCCCAACGCCGTTAGGCAGCAGCCATCTGTTCGCGGCGTCTTTGAGCCGCTGTCCGTACGCGAACGGCCGGTCCCCCGGCTCCAACCTGGTCTGCCGAAACCGCCGGCGATGGTCCTCTGGCAGCAACCCCAGCCTGTCGGTGACCGCCTTACGCACGGATGCGTAGTCCCGCCGGGCCGCCGGTGGCAGCCCCATGGACCCGTCTGCGCCTCCCCGGATAAGAGAGGCAGAAGCCGGACCGACCACTCCTCCGCCGGCCAGCTGCACGCATCTGCCATCACCTCAAAGGCCTCCAAAAAGGACTGCGCGTCATATTCCGCTGTCATGCGATGGAGCGCCAGTCCGGTCAGCGCCGCGGGCCCGGGCGTTCGCTGAGCGTCGGCCGGTCGCGCCGCCAGTTGCTCCAGAGCCTGGGCCTGACGTCCCACTTGGGCTTGGAGTGCCCCCAGGAACTGTCGATTGGCCTCTGCCTGGTCCCGCTGGATGGCCGCCAGCTCGCCGATCATCCGACCCAGCGCCAAGATCGGCTGAGCCGGCATCCCCTGCTGCTGCTCGTCGGTCATTCCGCCGTTCCCCCGCTACGTTGGGTGCCACTGTCACGGATGTAGGTTCTCGGGGCGCAGAGACAGCACGACACGGCAGGGTTGGTTGCAATACAATAGGTCTTTATTTGCAGTTTTCAGCTGTGCTGATGCCAATTGCTCCCACCTGGCACCGTTCCCTGAGCCACTCCCCCCTCTCTCCCGCTGCAGACGAGCCAAAACCACGCCCGCCACCACAATGTACAACTGTGAAAGAAATGAGTACTTACCATATTTACGCTCCATTGCTACTCCTCTGGTGTACACAAACCCATCTTAAATATAAGGTTGCTGCGGCCTGCCAATGAGTTGAGAAGTGAACCTCAGCGGTATCTATAGCAAAACCATACCCATCTGTGTCAAACTAAATGTCATTGGCTCTCATTGTTTGTCTTCTACCTTCGAAAAGACAGGCCTCTGGGTTCACAGGAAAGGACCCTGATGGTTCACAAAGAACCTCCTGCTGCACATCGAAGTGGGCTGGTTCTAAACCAGTGTTTTGTTCCAGGACGGATGCCCATCCACTCAACTACAGACCCTGCTGCCATTATTTAACAATCAATTCTATAGAGTCAAGGCAGAGAACGGGAGCTGGTCACACACAATCTCTCGAATCGCCATCCTTGCTGTCCCCGGCGCACCCTCTCTACCCCTGCGCAACGCCGCCCCCCCCCCGAGTTCACACAAAAAGCTAAATGACAGACTTCCTGTTCATTTTAGAGGATGGTCCCAAGAGACCTTTTTTGAAGTCTCCCTGTTATACATTTGGTTCTAACCGGCAGAGGGCGCTATGGAAACTGTGTGACGTTAAAATTAGTGAGTTGAATTTTTAGTCCTCTTCTTTCTGACATATACTATATACTGACATATACTCAAGAATACTTTGAGACATGCAGACAATATATAAAGCAGTTTCATCAGCAAACATTTTACTTTATTTGTCTTTAACATGAAAATATACATTGCTCTTAACAATAATGAAAAGGTGCATAAAATGACATTTGAAACAGCTTGGCAACTAAATCAGAATAGTTCTATTTCATTTTGACAAGGTGCAGTTCACCATCCAACCAGAGACTGAGTCGGGGACCCTTTCGTCAAAGGCTTTCATTAAAACACCTTTGTCACTGAAACAAGAAAAAAACATTGGTGTTTCCGATGGGGCTTTGATGCTCTTTTGATCACGACCGTCATCTCAGCCATACAAACCTTCTCTCAACATTTGACAGGTTCAAATTTTCATGTTTAATGGTTTCATTCATGTCATTTGAACTTTTGATTTCATCACACAAAAGGCCTGTCAACTCACTTTTGCATCAGGTATAATTATGTGACTCTCAGGACAGCTAAATGCTTTCTTCTAAATCCTAAGATTCCTCTACAAACTCTCGTGGTGAGAGTAATGAGTCACCGTAACGAATGCATGTATTCATTCTAAATGCATATAACAGTAGTGCTATCTGGCAGTGACAATCATGCTAATCATCCAACTAGGTGGAACCTAAATATGTGATGCTGATGATATTGCTTACAGTGATATAAGCACTATTGCTGTGTCCTTTGTGCAAACCATCATCCCTGCCCTTTAGTAGTGTCTACAGGTTTTCCTTACAAGCTTCCCAAAAACAGCAAATTAGGGTAAGCCCACGGCAAAAGTATATCAGAGTAGCTTTATTGGGGCTGTTTTGAAGGCTTCAAGGTATCCTGACTAGACCATAAAGCTCCATCTGGCTTTATACGAGAGCGGTGAAGAGACAGCTGCTGTACATCTGGACTATAGATCAGGTTATATGATCTGATGAGACCAAAACGAAGCTTTCTCTCTATTAGACAAAACACCTTGTCTGTAGGCCAAATGCTGCATGTCGTTAAAAAAATGCCATGGCCACTATGAAGCATGGTGGTGCTAGCATCGTGCTAAAGGGTTTGTTTCTATGCATTGTATTTGTCTTGGTAGTGCTGCAATACAGACATCACTTCATTTTTACATTTGACAATTCTGTGTTAAAAGCCACATAATATCTTAATAACTTTAAATCAATCGTGTAACTACCAAAGGCTAAAGAAACTAAGGGGGAAAATATGTATAATAATAACAGAGCTGTCAACTGGAGACGATGGTTACTATGTAGTGTGTAAGGAAAAATGAGGGTTTATTAAACATAACATGTAATGAAGTATGAACAGAAAAAGTGGCAGAAATACAGATGAAGCTCATACAGTGACGCCTCCAATCAATATGCTGCATGTTACAACCCATGCTCATAGCGATTCCTGAAATAGTCACTAAGACAGGGCAACCAAACCACCCAAAACAACACTTTGGATCATGTGATATTAAATGACTGTCTTGAGTTTGAAAGTCATTAGTTTGTTAGACCCATGCAATTAATGAATTAATATGGGTTTTTACATATGAGAATTCCAAATGTATGAAAATTGGCCGGATTTCAAAAGGTAAAAAAGTTGCTCCTCAATTCAGGAACTTAATTACAGCTTTTTAGAAGTTATCAACTTTTGATCATGACTTCGACGAAACTTATTGATGTATTATTCCCTTTTTTGAAATATGGGACATGTCCTTTTCCGCACTTGTCCTTGAAAAACGTTTACCGAAGTTCTGTTCCAACCAATGTTGCACATCCTTCAGATTGTAAAAAAAAGGCCCCTTGCCGCCCAGGTAGGCGATCTTTCTCTGTTTTACTATACACACTCGTTCATTGGACACACCATAGGCCACATTAGCATTGTTGTCCATGCAGTCTGCTACCAGCTGACACTGTGGTGGGAGGGAAAAGTGCTCAATGAGTTTGCGTGCCGCTCCCAACCTCTCTTCCAGGTTCTGGTGTTTTGGGACATCGAAGGAGCAAGAGCCCAAAGCCGGTGCCACCCATCCATCGGACGGATGAGCCTCATCTATGTACACTAACAAGAAGTTGGCTACGTCACTGAAGTCCTCCACCAACTGCCGGAAAGCGGGCAGATGGCTGATGAAGGGGGGTCAAGTAGCTGAGCCAAAATTGACCACCAGAGGGCGGTCAGATGACTCAAAATCCAGAAGGTGGCACTCAACTTCATTTGCTATCATGGCACCAGGTGGCAAACTAATCAGATTACTGAGATTGCTGCTCCTTTGAGGGCTGCCAGGCACCTTCACCACTTTGGAGTTGGGTGCCTCAAGGCCAACTTTCACCTAAGGCGAAAATAAATAGGGATTAAATCTTACTCACACACTGCACATATCAAGGAGATCAAAAGTAGGCTTTGACTTCATCTTCTAACTAACTCTCTTTCATTTGTGTATGAAGAAATGATCACCCTGAAGTGTGAATCTCCTCCCGTAGTTCTCCTCTGATTACTGACAGTTTAACATAGATTTATCTTAAGTGCATTTAGATCCAACCAAAGAGATCCATGCATATGTCATATATAACTGGACTTAAACTGTAATAATAAAATAGCACTTACTTAATTTGATGTACTTTTCAGAATACATTTGACTTTGATTTTAGAATAAACAATTGAGAGATTAATCAAGCTTGCAAATTTGAGACCCCGGAGGAAATTACATTACATTACATGTCATTTACCTGACGATTTTATCCAAAGCGATTTACATTGCATTTTTTACCCATGGTATTTACATTTTTCCAGGAAGCAATTAGGGGTTAGGAGTCTCAGGGACACTTGGACATGGGACATGGGGCAGCCGGGGTTCGGACTGCCAACCTTGAGGTTTCCTCTCTACTCCTGCGCCAACGTCACGAAATGCTGCTTTTATTCAGTCTAGTAAAATATTGATGGTGCTAAATGTTCAAATGAGTCCGATCTTTTATCATCATTGACAAAGGCAATAAACAGCAGGTGTTAACAGATGTCTGCGCCCCTCAACAGAACAGGTACCAATTGATTTCAGTTTCATAACTTGAGTTATCTTAAGTTGTCTCATTTCCTATTGAAACAGGTCTAGAAGATACATTTTAAACTACGTAAACTTTGGTAGTCGTAGCTCTATTTATATATATCGTTACACATCAATAACACATTCTTAGGAAATCACAGAGCTGGAAGGTCTGGCGCCCTCTGCTCTCTGTGTGTAATAACGGTTGTTATTATCGCATTATAAGACAATGCGGCACATTGCTACGTGTCTTCCTCTTACTGAGGCCCGTATCCGACAGGTAGGAACATTGATGTGTGGTCTCCATTACCTGTTTGTAGGCGTCCAGGAGGAAGCTCCTCCAGACGGAGCGCAGCCCCGCGGAGGTGAGCATGCGGCGCCGCGCCCCGCGGCCGGCGGCCCGGGAGCAGCTGAGCAGCGACACGACGGCCTTCAGCAGCACCACGGAGTCGTACAGGGCGAGGAACAGGCAGTTTGAGAAGAAGCCAGGTAGTATCTGCAGGGTCACGCGCAGACCACCACTCGCCATTCCCATGGCGCCTCTCACACAGGACCGCAGGAGAACCGAGAAGACCCCCCTCACTGCCCGCGGGTAGCGGGTCTCAGTCGGACCCTCATGGCCCTGCTCTGGTCCTGGGAAGCTTCCAGACTTTGTGCTCCAGGTGTATCTTGCACTTCATGCGAGTTGTCTGCTGTATGCGCGCCACAGGAGCAGCTGTTCCTGGTTATATTTCTTAATACGGTTGTTACGTCACCTTGACGATGTCACCTCCTTCCTGTCCCAGTGGGCGGTCCAGAATATCAAGTACACGGACTTGTGCACTTGGCAGAATCGACTTTGGAGTCCAGGCCCCCAAATATAAATATTTATATATATATTATATAAATATAATATTTATATAAATTATATATATATATATATATATATATATATATATATATATATTATATATTAGTATGTTAACAAACAGGCTTTACTTAACTTATTTTGGTGCATTTCTTTTGGTCATTTTTCTCCAATGACGCTGAATGTATTGGCAGCAACAGATCGCCTCCTTGTCGTCCTTCTCCTTTCAATCTATCGACCAAACCATTTTGATACCTTGGCTAGAATCAAGTGAAGAGGAAAACCTATAATCAGTACAAGAGAATAAGGATGGTGAGAAGAAACTTCTGCTATCTAACTAAATCCTAGCACACCTTTCAGGAATGTACAGTGGCCCTGAAGTGCAAAACACAACAGCAAATAGGAACGCACAACAAAATTAACTTCTTACGTCTTATAGCAGAGGACGGACCCATCTGATTGGACAGACGAACTCTCTGTCTTTTAACAGGAAGTGATGCAGGGCTCTCAAGTGTCACGCATTGAGCGAGACAGTCACGCACTTCCGCCACACATCCAATTCCTCACGCCAAGGAATCGGACTCCGGTCCCCGAGCCGTGTCGGCCATACCGTCAGCGGCGTCCACCGGCCGTAGCCTCAGCGGTACCCCCCGCAACCCCCCCTTTATTTACAACACCTAAATAGAATTGAACAACAAAACACCGGTAAAATGATGGTGAAACACTAGTAGGACACTGGTAAAACATCGCCATCTCTCCGTGACTTTCTGCTGCGCTCACTTCCCCCCCTCATCACAGGCTCTCAGTCCCGCCTCTCATTTATTGATTTTAATATCTAGAAAGCGGCATTTCTCAGCTTTCAGAATCCGATTGTGCAAATAGTTAAGGATTCACGGTAATTTGAATCCTCCATGTCACTTTCCGTCGCCGGCAAAAGGCTTTGGATTAAGAGGGTTAAAAGACAGACAGTCTGTCTGTCCAATGAGGAGGGTCTGTCCTCTGCTTCCTGCTATAAGGCCCTACCCTTTCCGTTAATGTCGTTGTGTATTTTAGACACTTGTTAATGTTATTTTAAACACAAAACTACACACGTGATCATCTTGGAGGCAGAGAACTAGCGACTCTTCCTGCTTTCCTCGTGTCTTTTGAACGGCTAGAACGGCTAGTCCTGACCCACCTGAAGTCCCTCACCGACCCCCTCCTGGACCCCCTGCAGTTCGCCTACAGAGCCAACAGGTCTGTGGACGATGCTGTCAACATGGCCCTCCACTACATCCTCCAGCATCTGGACCCCCCAGGAACCTACGCCAGGATCCTGTTTGTGGACTTCAGCTCTGCTTTCAACACCATCATCCCGTCTCTGCTGCAGGACAAACTCTCCCAGCTGCACGTGCCCGACTCCACCTGCAAGTGGATCACAGACTTCCTGTCTGACAGGAAGCAGCACGTGAAGCTGGGGAAACATGTCTCAGCCTCTCGGACCATCAGCACCGGTTCCCCCCAAGGCTGCGTTCTTTCCCCTCTGCTCTTCTCCCTGTACACCAACAGCTGCACCTCCAGTCACCAGTCCGTCAAGCTCCTGAAGTTTGCGGATGACACCACCCTCATTGGACTGATCTCTGGTGGGGATGAGTCCGCCTACAGGTGGAGTCTGACCATCTGGTGTCCTGGTGCAGTCAGAACAACCTGGAGCTCAACGCTCTAAAGACAGTGGAGATGGTTGTGGATTTCCAGCGGAACAGAGCCCCACCCTCCCCCATCACCCAGGACCTCAAGTGGGAGCTGAACATCAGCTCCATCACCAAGAAGGCTCAGCAGAGGTTGTTCTTCCTGAGGCAGCTGAAGAAATTCAACCTGCCAAAGACGATGATGGTCCACTTCTACACGGCCATCATGGAGTCCATCCTCTGCTCCTCCATCAGCGTCTGGTACGCTGCAGCCACAGCCAAGGACAAGGGCAGGCTGCAGCGTGTCCTCCGCTCTGCAGAGAGGCTGATCGGCTGCAATCTGCCGTCCCTGCAGGACTTGTTCGCTTCCAGGACCCTGAAGCAGCTAAAAAGATGGTAGCCGACCCCTCTCACCCTGGACAAAACCTGTTTGTGCCCCTTCCATCTGGCAGGAGGCTGAGGTCCATCAGGACTAAGACCTCCCGCCACACCGCCAACAGTTCCTTCCTGTCGGCAGTCAGGCTCATCAACAGAGCCGGTCCCCCACTGGCTGACTCTGTTATTCCAACGGTCACTTTAACTGTCATTTCTCACTCGTCACATTGTTGTCACTCGTCACTTTGTCGTCACTCGTCACTTTGTCACTTGTTCGATAGTGCACTTTATGTTTAATATTTTTTAACTTTTTAAATACTTAAAATTTTTAACTTTATTCTCTTGTTAACACATACCCTTATTCAACTAACCCATTGCTTCAGCATTTCATTTTATTTTATTACTTGTGCACCGCTGTCTTGTTGTCTATTGTTACACTGTCTACTGTCACGCACCAACCGCCAAGACAAATTCCTTGTATGTTTGACATATTTTGGCAATAAATGTTTCCTGATTCCTGAAGAGACACATGGCTTAAATACACTAGGGAGGTGCAGGTGATTGGACACAGGTGGAAACTATCAGACAATCACAGGGGATGACAGGACAAGGCAGGAAGTGTGTGTGAAGTGGCAGAAAACTACAAAATAAGACAGGATGTGAACCACACCGTGACGCATAGATGCATATCCCTATATATGTATTCACAGTATCAACAAATTACACATCTCATGACTTTCCAATTTGATAATGAAACGTCCCGCTTATAATCTGTTTGATATATTCAACATAACAATGAGAATCCATTCACTGTCTGTTAGATTTCCTTTTCGGGTATTGTACAACTTCTCAGTATGTCATATATTCTGTGAATGGATAAGCTGGAACGTTCTGCAACACAAGTCCCATTACCAAAGCCAGATGTGGACTCAGCAAACAGGCCATATCAGTTTAAAAGCAGACATTGTCTGAGATTACTAATACATGTCAGGTTCCATGTCAAAGAAGTCTTGTAGTGTGACAACAACTTAACTCAATGTAACACAAGTTCAGGAAAATGAATTAGTATTCATTAGCTGACAACAGCAACAAATAGCTGCACACTTACTGCAATTTGACCTGTGTGGTGGCGGGTTGTGGTTAGCTCAGCTCGGGGGGGAGTGGTTCAGGGGACGGTGCCGGAAGGAGAGTAAGGAGCACAGGTGGAAGTGATCAGAACTGATTGTGTGTCCCTTGAAAAAGCAGTGAGCAGGACCTGGAGAGAAAGGAGACTCTGCAGCAGACGCTCAGGGGCAAGGCCGAGCCGAGCCGAGCCGAGCCGAGGACAACTAAGCGAAACCTGCTCACTGCGAGAAATTAAATAAAACACATTGCTCAGAAGAATCGTGTCTCCGTGCGTCCTTACGCGAACCCAAAGGTGGTAGCTCGACTCCTGCTACAACCTGTTTATGGCTTTTGTTGACCTCTCCAAAGCCTTAGACACTGTGCAGAGAGACCTTTTGTGGGACATCCTACTCCGGTTTGGATGCCCTTCTAAGTTTCATGATGGTATGAATGCGAGGGTGACAATAAAAGGACAAGAGTCTGCCTCCTTCCCTGTGTGCACAGGGGTCAGGCAGGGGTGTGTACTAGCCTCCGTGCTCTTTAACATCTTCCTCCTATGCGTCACCCAGCTTCTCCATTAGGAAAATGAAGACAACAGCGGGGTGACAGTAGTTTTTAGGCTAGATGGCAACCTCCATCCAAACAACAATTTTCATGATGGCCTCTTTGAGATTTGTTAATTGTTTTAACAAATCAATGCTGAGGTGGCTAGAAGAAAGGTTGCCCTCTCTCACCCAGACACTTTCCTTCTCACCACTGCTTTGCTATGCTTAACCTCAGCCTTTCCTCTTTTGGTAGATGGCATTGAAACGCACCCAAGTAATGATCCCAGATGGGATACTGTCACGCTGCAGTGTTCATACTCACAGGAAGCCTCAGCAAAGATTCCAGCAGTGGACTCAGGCAGATAATGTACAATAAGATTGTGTCTGCTATAGTAGAGTCTCGGTAAGTTATGAAATGTATTTGTAAATCCTTCTCTGTGTATTTGTATATCAAATATATTTGTGAATTGCGCTGTGCGCATCTGCAATTATTGAAAGTGATCTGACCCCATATCAGCTAAATGATATGTCATATAATGTAAAAGTGTCACTGCCTCTACCTTTTTAATACAACAATGCTGTCAAATCACCAACAAGGTCAAACTGTAGCCAAACAAACATCAGATCTTATGAGGATGAACTCTTTCAATCCAACCTGGCTCTTTCGTAACATTATATAAGGTTACAGCAACTGCACAGACTTAGTCACTGTTACATGTTTGCCCAGCTGAGGGCGGTTAATAGAGTTCAGGGCACTGTGTCACATTTATTGATCCCTCCTCCAATGGTGTATTTTCCCACATAGTATTCTGACGGCAGTGGAAAAACAACAGTGACAGAACACTAAGATTTATTATTTTTTTTGCATGTTGTCATGGTCATGTTTAACCTCATTTTGTAAATTTTAAAATGGATTAAACCATTGGTCATTTACTATTGGACCTAAATCACGCGTCATTTTGTTATTAGATTCTCAAAAATGACCATCGAGTTGAATCAACACATCTCTGTGTTCAAGGATAACCTCATCTAACATTGCATAATCTCACTCTGTCAACAAATCCTACATTTCGCCTTGGTCATTGTGAAATAACACCAGCTAGTTGCATTCCTCTTATATGCGCATATTCTGGAGTCTTTGGATAATTATGAACTTAATATCGCACACCCTTGAGAATATGCATTTGTTCTTAAATACAGGTAGAAGGTACTTAATAAGGTTATAGATACTACACCACCGTCCTCTGATGTGCACTTGAACAAATTGCAGTAGGTGTGCAGCTATTTGTTGCTGTTGTCAGCTAATGAAAAGTAATTAATTTTCCTGAACTTGTGTTACATTGAGTTAAGTTGTTGTCACACTACAAGACTTCTTTGACATGGAACCTGACATGTATTAGTAATCTCAGACAATGTCTGCTTTTAAACTGATATGGCCTGTTTGCTGAGTCCACATCTGGCTTTGGTAATGGGACTTGTGTTGCAGAACGTTCCAGCTTATCCATTCACAGAATATATGACATACTGAGAAGTTGCACAATACCTGAAAAGGAAATCTAACAGACAGTGAATGGATTCTCATTGTTATGTTGAATATATCAAACAGATTATAAGCGGGACGTTTCATTATCAAATTGGAAAGTCATGAGATGTGTAATTTGTTGATACTGGGAATACATATATAGGGATATGCATCTATGGAAATGTTTTGTAAGCTTGTAGAAGCCCCAAGAGAGTGCTCGTACTGGCTAACAGGAAGTTGCCATCTAATATGAAATCGTCTTCATGGCAAACTGCTAGGGTAAGGGACATTTTTGTTTATTATAACTAAAAACTGTTTGTTTTAAATTTATGATTATTTTGAAAGTCAAGAATCAGGAAACATTTATTTCCAAAATATTTCAGACATACAAGGAATTTGACTTTGCGATTGGTGCGTAACAGTAGACAGTTTGACAATGGACAACAAGACAGATAAGACGACATAGTGCAAGTAAGTAAATAAATAAATAAAATATAATGCTATGGGTGAGTATATAAACACACACAGTGTCTCTCACACAGTGTCTCACACTGTCTCTCACACTGTCCATGTCTGTACGGTGCTGCGATGCAGAGAACATCTGGAAAGCAGCTGCATGTCGTGCTCTTGGTAAAGTTCTGTTGGTTTATTTGTCTCTTAATAAACTTCTGGATGTTCCACATTTCACTGCTTCAATTGATCAAATGTCTGATGATGAACGATGGATTTATAATGATTCTCACACACATGTAATAAACTAGTTCTATGTGGTCGTCTACATACATATGATACATACGCTGATACATAGATCCTGTTCATTCGTATCAATCTGATGCTTTGGGCTTGTTTTCATCTACATACTCTGAAGGAGTTGAGATCTTTATTCTCATTGGATGATGATCATCATTTAAATAGATATAATGTGATTGATTAGAGTGACGAGGCACTAAAATGAGCCGTTACATTTTACCATCACGCGTAACGTTAACTTGTGTGTGATACTTTGTGGGGCTTGTAGCCTCCAGGGGGCGCTGTCAGTCTTTAACATCATTATAGGATTCATTTCATGTTATTTTCTATCGCACAATATCGCAAATTAGCCTCATGTGTCTTTACAGTGTGAACACATGTGACGTCCTCTGTCCAGAACCCTTCACATCGACAGGAAAAACTCCCCAAACAACGAAAGGTGTTTGATGGGGAGAATAAAGGGAAGAAACCTTTAGAGACACAGGACGGTCCTCCAGGGACGGACAGACCGCGATGGACGTACAGAATGAACAACGTGAAATATGTATAATACATTAAATTGATCTGACAGAAATGATTCAAATGAACATGTTATCTCCTCATATGCCTTCATGATCATCTCCTGCTCTTCCTTTAACTTTATTTGCCGTTATACTGTTAACAAATCCTGGTTTCTGTGATCGACTCGTCCGCCTTCTGACGTGAGACGGTTATCCTGATGACTGAAGTCTGGTTCAAACTAACGAGACGGTTTGAACTGTTTGCATTGAGGAAAATAAAGTACTAGTGAGAGGAACTGCTACTGCATCTGGGTCCGTACCTCACCGTTACAATGATTCCCTTAGCTACTGTTACTTTGTTATGTGGATGTACTTATTAGCTGGTTTCCGTTTGCACAATGTGTGCTATTCATATCCCTGTTTTGTGAGGGGTGCAGTCACTGATTTAATACAATCTTGTTGTTGGGATTGGCCTTATGCAGGCCGCCACGTAGGGGTAATGTGGTGGTTAATAGCTAGTGTGAAATTAAATCATTGACATCAATAGAATTATTAATAATCACTAAGATAATTCACTGAATAAATATATAACGAGGCACCACCCTAAAAAGGGACTAATGACCAAACTATAAATCAAGTCTCATAATTGATATTCACTCATTAAGAGCAAGGAATTGAAGGTTTGAGTTTGTACACTGACGATGTTTCCAGCCAGCATTACAGCACACGGATGCAAAGAAATCACAGAAAACTGCTCCTTAAAGTATAACAGGTTTTATTAACTTCCAATAATACTAATCAGATGTCAATGCGAAGAAGGGAGCTAGCTGGACGCTAAGCTACCAACCACATGGCTGAGGTATTAGCAGGCTGTGTGTGTTCACCACGTGTGTTCCTCACATAGTTACACCTGTCTGCAGGTAACTACGGGTGTGTGTGTTAGTAAATTAGAAATCAAAGAAAGAAGGAAAAAGCAAAGCAGATCTTATTCGGAACAGTGAGGCGCGATAGTAGTTCATAAACACACACAATCTCTGGTTCAACAAGACAGTAAACACCAAAACACAAATAACGACACATGCTAATGTAACTTCTGCCCAGACTTAGCCTTCCTGTGCGTTGATGGCTTTCTGTGTTTCCTCCAGTCTCGTTTAACCGACCGGTCCGGTTGCAGGGATCGATTGGGGATCATGAGGACTGTTGGTGCTCTTGTAACACGGACGTTTTATTCAAGGGGGTAGAAGTTACAAGTTTTCCTTCTTGGGGAGCTGCTTGGGTCAGAAGTGGGGACTTCTCTGGAGCAGCTACAAAATGTTTTGGAGAGGCCTGAATCCTGTCATTGACGCCAGCCGATTTGGAAAGTTGATTTGAAGAGGCTGTCCCCCCCCTCTCATCAATAATGACTCACTCTCAACCAATCAGAACACTGGATTTCATCTACGTGTATTATAAACACGATTAATCCGTTTGTTACACAGGCAGCAAACTTTCTCGGCTCACCTACTTGATGGACAGCTTTTTTTTGCTTTTTCTAAATCTATTATAGAGTAATTTATTCTACGGTCAACATCTTTTGAATCACATTGCTGCATGTTCTACATGTGGTCTTTTCTCCTCCCTGCTGCTGTGCAGGGAGAAGTGAGATTGAGTTATTGTGGCGCTGACGCTGTCAATTAAACAAGGCAAACGCCTAACTGACGCCTTATTATACAGTACTTCTGTATATTCATCTCAATAAATGTATAACAAAAAACGTTACTGAAGTCAAAGCCAAAATCTACAATTTTACAATTTTCTAATACATTACAGTCATGATACGATTTCAATAGTATCTCAGCAATCCCAGAATGTTGGTTTTTGTGTGTGAGTCAACATACTGTTAATTGTGGCTTCTTAAACCAGATCTGATGCATGTGATCATGGATTCAGGGATGTAATTCGCTAATGGTAAAGTTTTGTAAAATAGGATATTTCGCTGGTCGACAGTAAACAGAGTTTATTAAGATCATGTAGTAAAATGTTTTTGAAATGCTTTTTTATTTGATATGGTCCTTCAGTATTGTCCTAAAAGGTATATTGATAAATGTTTAATCTGTACGTTTTTTAAAGCATGGACTTCCCTGTGACATTTGGAGTATTCCAGCATTTCACTTCTCTAATATATCTCATCTTTTATGGTTTGCTCAGCATCACCAAGGCTCTGGAGGAAACCTCTGTATGATAGTAAGTAACAGGCTGTATGCTCAATGCTTTTCACTGTCATTTGCTTGGTGGGATGTTTGACAATTATCCTGTTCTCCTTTTTAGGATTATGCATGTTGAAGTGTAAGGAATGTTTGGACCTGAATTTGAAGTTGATATTCATTTACATTGTCAATAATTGAAATACACAATATATGTAATATTGGATGGTCAGTTCCGACTTCAATAAAAACGCCTGAACTACGTTATGTTTCATGTGTCTTAATAGGGGATCAAATAAAAAATGTTTGGAATAAAATAATGATGTTTTATAAGTATTTTATCAAAATGAGTTGCACTAATACAATTTAATCTTATCGCATAGATGTTCTTAGATTGAGTTATGTCTATATAATGTATGTATTGGATGGAAATCCTGCACACAAATGAATTGAGTTCATCAGTCTCTCTCTCTCTCTCTCTCTCGTTACATGCATTTGAGTAATATTAAGTTGTATAGATTACCTACAGCTGTGAGCCACAATGGTATGATTCCCATTTCAAGTTATTGAAGCTATTTTCAAGAGCCCTAAAAAATGGGATCTTTCAGCTTTTAGTTTTTTAGATGCCTTGTCATGTCAAAAAAACATGCAATTTGGTGTTGGAAGAAAGGTGAATAAATCCTTACCATCTATATTCATACTGTCCTTCATGACCAATGGCTGACCCTTGACCAAAGGGTGAGGCGGAATTAAGGGCAATATGACCAATGTTAGTTTTTGGCGAGGTCGCATATCTAATGCAGAGTAAAAGAAGGCCTTGTCATAATTTAGCTTTAGACTTTTATTCAGGTTTTTTGTTTGCAAAGCAGTGCAGTGCTTGCAGATGTTAATCTCCAGTTGTCCTGCTTTTAGGAACCAGTTTTATAGATACAGATAACTTATCCAATAAACCAGATTGAAAAAGCCAAAAGCGGTGGGGAACAATATCCGTGAGTAAAAATCAATCCTGGAAACTCGCACATGCATCCTGTTTTCACGCCAGGCACCGGAGCGGCAGTCATCAAAGCAGCAGAAAAAGCTGGTACAGTCTTTTCCATCCAAACAATCGTAGGCAGAGTCCCCTTCCTCGTCATAGGGCACAATGTTGGTCATCTGCAGCAAGGAGGTGCCAGGATGGGTATTTAACACGCTTACAGATTTCTGCTGCGGAGGGAACGACACATTTAAATTTGTTGCTTTTATATTCAGCGAGCTGAGAAAGAAAATGTGTTGAGTACCTGTGTGACGTTATTGGCTTTGCCCTTCTTGGTTTGTCTGTTGCTGGTGAAGTAGTGCAGAGTTCCATACTCCATAAGTGCAGCAAAGGTGAAAATGAAGCAGACGGAGACAAACAGGTCCATTGCAGTCACATAGGAGACCTTGGGAAGAGACTTTCTTGAGATGGTGCTTAGAGTTGTCATCGTGAGCACTGTGGTGATACCTAAATGGATAAGAGACAAATTGCTCAGAGGACTATCGTATAATTTCTATCTACATATATTTCAACGCATAGAACAAATAAGTGAAATATCATAGCAGTGATTGGTACTTCAACAAAGTCCCAGCTAGCAAAATTGTGTAAGCCCACACGGCGCTGTATTAAAATGACATTGCAATAGTTTTAGGTTTAGTCTGGCAACCACAAGCTCAAAAAAATGGCATACCCATGAGGAAACGGGTAATAACTTTGTAACTATTCAAGTCAATACAATGTAACTAAATTAATGTTTCAACGTACAGACTATTGAAACACATTTTCCACAAAGGAGCTATCTATTAATAATATTGCCTAAGAACAGTTGAATCTGTATTTGGAAAAATGCATCACTCTCCCCCAAATCTAGAAATCAGAGAGAATCCTCAAATCAAGATACTCATTACATCACATCACATGTCATTTAGCTGACGCTTTTATCCAAAGCAACTTACAATAAGTGCATTTCAACCATAAGGACACAAACTCAGAAGAACAAGAAACTAGAAAGTGCAATTTCCTCAAATAGGCCAATCTACAACTTGCTGTAGATAAGAACCATTATAAGTCCAATGTAAGTGCTACAGTTAGTGTGTTAGTGGAGGTAGAGTCTGAAGAGGTGTGTCTTTAGTCTGAAGATGTGAAGGCTCTCTGTGGTCCTGATGTCTTCAGAGACCTCCTTCCACCATTTAGGAGCAGGACAGCAAAGAGTGGAGATCTAGTCGAGTGTTTTGCTCTCAGTGAGGAGGAACAAGCAGTTTATCACATGCAGAGCGGAGAGTGCGGGTCGGGATGTCGGGTTGGACCAGGTCCTGGATGTAAGCTGGACCCCATCCATTCACAGCGTGGTACGTGAGCACCATGTTTAGAACTGGATGAGCCATATGGCGGCAAATCACTGTCAAAAGAGCGCAAGTCAGGTTGATGCACATGCGTAAATCAAACATTCGCGAGCAAGTTCATCTCGCGCGAGATATTTGCTTGCTCGCGAAACGTGAACTTGGTGGCTCGCGAGGTTAGTCTCTGCTCGCGCTTGAAGGTGTTTTCTACGCGCTCGCTGTTTTTCTTTTTGACAGTGAGGGGGCGGAGCCAGTCACCATGGTCTCTACACCTGATTGGTTACAAACCAGCGTCTTTGGATTGGCTGGAGTGATGCATCCACACAACTATAGAAGCCCATTTCCGCAATATAGAAAGGGGATAGAAAGTGGAAATTATGAGATAAAACATTGTCAAAAAACAGACGCCCCCCTTCGGTAACCGTAGTGGAGCGTAGATGACAACCAGCTACAACCATTGTGAAGAGAGGGGAGGAGTGGAGGAGTGTGGGAGAACTTAGGAAGGTTAAAGACTAGTGGAGCTGCTGCATTCTGGATGAGCTGCAGAGGTGGAATGGTGGTAGCAGGAGACCTGCAGGAGGGAGTTGCAGTAGTCCAGGAGGGAGACGACCAGAGCCTGAATCAGTACCTGCGCTGCCTTCTGAGTGAGAAGGGGACGTATTCTCCTGATGTTGTAGAGCGAGTATCTACAGGATCGCGTTGTCGCAGTGATGTTGGGAGTCAGGGAGAGTTGGCTGTCGATTGTGACGCTGAGGTTCCTGCAGTCAAAGTGGGCGTTAACACAGAGTCGCCAAAGTTGACCGTCAGGTCCTGTTAGGAGAATCTTTTCCCGGAAAGAGAAGTAGTTCAGTCTTGTCGGGGTTAATTTTCAGATGGTGAGCGGACATCCACTGAGAGATGTCAGTCAGACAGGCAGTGATCCGAGTGAGGGAAGGATAGAATTAGTTGGATGTCATCGGAAATAACTGGTAGGAGAAGTTGCGAGCAAATGACAGCGCCGAGAGAGTTGGTGTATAGCGAGAAGAGGAGGGGACCCAGGACGGAACCCTGAGGAACTCCAGTAGTAAGAGGACAAGGTTCCGACACAGATTACCCGGTAGGTGCGGCCGTCGAGGTAGGGAGAGAGCAGAGCCTGAGACACCAAGTTCCTGAAGGGAGGAAATAAGGATCTGGTGGTTGACTGTGTCAAATGCAGCAGAGAGGTCCAGAAGGACGAGGACAGAGGAGAGAGAGAGGAGCTCTAGCAGTGTGGGGATGCTCTGAGACAGCAAGGAGAGCAGTCTCTGTGGAGTGGCCTGCCCTGAAACCTGACTGGTGGGGGTCAAGGAGGTTGTTATGGTGGAGATAGGAGGAGAGTTAGTTAAAGATCGCACGTTCAAGGGTTTTGGACCAAAAGGGAAGAAGAGAGACCGGTCTGTAGTTGTTTTCTTCAGAAGGGTTGAGAGTAGGTTTCTTCAGGAGAGGGTTAACTCTCGCCTCCTTCAGAGAATTTTGGGAAAACAGCCAGATAACAGAGCATTGTTGATGAGACAGGTGAGGAAAGGAAGAAGGTCAGGTGCGATAGATTATAGAAGATTTGATGGAATGGGGTCAAGAGGGCAGGTTGTCGGACGGGCAGAGGTTACTAGGGTAAGAATTTGGTTAGGAGACGGGGGTGTGAAAGAGGAAAGTGAGGGCGATAGAGGTGAAGTCAGTGGGACGCAAGAAGTAGGAGGAGGTGGGTTTGAGAAAGAGGAGCGTATGTCAGCTATTTTCTTGGTAAAGTAGTTGACAAAGTCTCCGGAAGAAGGGTGGAGCGGGGAGGAGGACTAGGGGGTTTGAGGATAACACACATCATCCTAGACTAAATAGTGGAACGTGGGCGATTTTCCACATAACAATGGTTTATTTAAGGTTATTCCTTCAGGAGTTACAGTGTCTAGTAGCACAGAGACAACCAGTCATCATCTTATCCTCACCGCTTATCCTTAGAGGGTCGCTGGAGGGCTGAAGTCAATCCCAGCTAGAATCGGATGAGAGCTGGGGTTAACCCTGGACGGGTCGCCAGTACATTGTGGAGATGACATACCGACAAATACACATTCACTCACGTTAAACTACCTTGATGAAATTTTAGAGTCACTAATTAACATATTTTGCATGACTTTTGGACTGTGGAGGGAAACAGAATACTGGGAGAAAATGCAAACTCCATGCAGAAAGATACTGGGTGGGCTTGAACTTCTTGCCTTGGACCTTCTTGCTGTGAGATAACAGGGGTAACGTGGCGTAGGGGCATAGGGGTAGAGAGGGTGCGCTGGGAACCGCAAGGTTGGTGGTTCGAGCCCCAGCTGCCCCATGTCTGCCCCTGAGCAAGACACCTAACCCATAATTGCTCCCTGGGCAAAAATGTAAAAAGCCATGGGTTAAAATGTAATGTAAGTCGCTTCGGATAAAATCGTCAGCTAAATAACCTGTAATGTAATGTAACAGTGCTAATCCCCACTCAACCAACCACCCAATTCTGAATGACATTGTGCTTGTAACCAACAAAGAAGTGGTTTCTGTTCTTGATGGAAATTAGTGCTGCGTTTGACACCATTGATCATTGCATCCTGTTGAAGAGACTAGAATATTTGGTTCTGATTAAAGAAACCGCACAGAGCTGTTTTTTGTTGTAAGTACCAGATCGATCCCAGTTTGTGTTTGTAAATGTTGAAACCAAAAATTGTTTGGACGACGGTTTCATGGCCAGGTGTTGCCTGTTCCCTCGTGCTCCGTCACTCCATTTAAAATTACAGTCTGTACACATGCAACATCCTCTGTCCCGAAACCCACACATCAGCACATCAGAAGATATCGTAATTAACCAGAACAATACAAGCCGCAATTGGCTGAAGTGACTTACACCAGGGACAGCTGTGCACTTTCCAACCTATTATCAGCTAAGGGCCAATAGAGTTACTAAACCATAATGCGAAGGCTAGTTTAAGTCAACTTTTTTTTCAATTTTTTAACGGTAAAAGATGACTGTAATTTATATTTCGATGTCCACTCATAGAAGGAGGCACATTTGAACTCTTATGTCTTAGTATGTATTAAATAAGAACATTAAATAAGAACATATCAAACCTAGAGATGTACGGGCTGGAACCGCATCCTTGTTGATCCAAAAGGAGACCCAAGACAAGACCACAATCATGCTGCAGGGAATGTATGTCTGGATGGTGAAGTATCCCATTCGCCGACTCAGGTCAAAAAAGATTGTCATAATTACATATTCCCCTGAAAATATATTAATAAGGTAGATATAAAAACAAACAGTTGATTGTATAAGCACAAGTGAGCTGTTCATGTAAGCCGCAGTGAAATTTATCCCACTGAATGGAGGTCATTTCCTACCTTTAATCAAGAGCTTGTGTTTTGCAATTTAAGACGAATAAATGATTTCAGTTTAGATGTTTTAATGCTCTTCCTCAAAACCCTGTCATTATATTCAAATAATCTCTGCTTACCTTTGGACTTCTGCTAAAACTATATATGTGCTGAGATATATTATTGCTTCCACAGATGCACCATCTTCACTCATTCTTCTCACACGGCTGTGTGCCTGTGAAACATCTGCTATGGAATTTCTCTCCTGCTCTTAGACATTTTTTTGAACAACAACCGTGTCAAAATGTCCACCCAATAGAATATCAGTGTATTGTTGACCAATAAAATCATCCCTTCCTAAGTAGTCCTTGTTGTCTGGAAAAGAACCCAACACAACATGGCTAGACAATCGGAAGAAGTGGCTGAAAGGTGAAATGGGGCCTGGTTAAGCAGCTATTGACGCTATGCTCACAAAGAGAGGTATACAGTAAGAACATCAATCAAAAGAAAAGACAAATGGACTACATGAAGCCAAGAAAAAGGAGCAAAGCGGAATGAAACAACACACAACACCCAGCTTAATGTGTAGAATCCCACAACTGTGGTAAACATGGACATGGACCATTTTTCAAGGTGATGTGGCTTCCAGAGAGAACCCATGGATGGCTGACATGCAGAGAACAATGCTGACATCTGTGAAAAGCACTTATTTACGTTGATTTGGTTTTGGACAATCTCCTTATAATTGAGAAATACACAACACAGCGTGTGTTGACAGTTTTTGCAAATAGCATTCTACCAACAGTTATGAAATATTGCTTTGGTCGTTGGCCAGACAGAAACCAGTGGATCACTGCTGGCATGACTGTGCACATTGGACTCCTGCTGCATGGTACAAGGCTAGTCATACCTGCTAACATGTTAAATGAGCTCTTTCAGAAAGTTCACAGGGGCATCAGCAGAAGGTACAGCGCAGAGAATTCGATAGGGAGACAGTGTGCTGACCAGTACTAAGTGCAGAGAGTGGACTGATGAGAAACTTCCAGACACAGACACGCAAAAACTAGGTGCAAACATACTCACTCTAAGATACTGCAACTGTTATTTATAACATATTTCTCTAGAAACACTAAGAGATTGCAACTCATTCAAAGATGTGTGCAATAAACAGTGTGACGTCTCGACTGTTAAAAAGCCACAGCTCCTGTTGGGCCTTACTAGCATGCAAAGCCTCACCTGAGTGCAGCTTACTGCCCTGCACAGCTACCAGAAATGACCTTTGAACCACAAAGCCTTCCTTTACTGAGAGGTTGCAGCCTGGACCTGCTGCAACTCCATTAAACAAAGAGTTGAAAAGATGGCTGGATGCTATATGTTTCAATAGGAGGACCATGAAGTAACTGTTCTCAATGGAAAACACAAGTAGTCTTCATTGTCTGTAAAAACACAAACCACAACCACCACTTGTAGAATTACATGATACTATACCAGGGCCCAACCGTCTTTTACTCACTATTGCAAGAACAGCCGCCCTTTACAGACACTCCAGTAAAGAGAAGGCAGAAATAATAGTCAACTCTACTCCAGGCCATCTATATATACGTTAAACCAAATCACTAGCACAGTGAATAGCCCATCCAGATATATGTATATGGTTTGAGCAGAAATCCAAGCATAAGAGGCTAGATTGGGTGTGAGGACAGGGTTTTGACAGCTGGTATTAAAAAATCCGAAATAATCATCAATAACCTGTGCTCTTAAATACAAAAAAGGCTGTTGAGAAATAAGCTCCATTCCTTTGCAGGTTTTAAGTAGTAAAGTATGCATGTTATTCTAAATATGAAATTGTACATACATAAGTATAGATCAAATACGAAATCTAATCCAAAGTCTACATTCTTGTAATATCAATGCTGAATATCTCACCTGACTGGGTGTGCGCCACATGAGAGGTGTTTCTCAACCCTACAAAGGCAAATTGGTAAAGTCTCCAGTACTGCTGGTCTGCCACCTCCACTGCTCGTCTCTGCCACCGGTAATTGATCTCATTTTTGGGATAACCATCTACCAAACCAATCAAGACACAGAAATCTAATACATGACGTAGAAAGCGTTTTCTTGTAAACAGAATGAAGATATGTAGGCAATACATCATAAGAAAAATGGAACCATGGCAAGCAAAGAATAGCATTCAAGATGAAGCTTACCTGCCCAGTGCCATGGAATGTATTGAAATGAGCAAGAGGTCTTTAAAACATATGCATCAGTCAGTGCACTACTTCGATAGATAATCATGACCTTTGATAGACATTCCTGTAATATTCAGTAGTCGATCAATGTTTTGCTAAATGTGAGCTAGTGCTCACAGTGTCTCTGAGGTGTACTTTGGAGGAAATACAATGCCAGTTCATTTTCACACTCGTACACCATTTGTAGATTCACAGTCTATTTGACTTGAGCTTGCAGTACTTCCCAAATATAAATTCTCATTGAAACCTTTTCTGAACAAGTCCTCACTTCTAGAATTTTTTTAAGTAACCTGTGCAAATGTTTTAGTATTTTTCATGAAGGTTTTCTGATATGCCAACGCTTAAGGTCCATACAGCCAAATACAAACACATTCGATTAATCACTGCAATAATGTGTTAGGGCAAAGGTTACCTTAATGGTTAACTGAAACCAATACTGCCTTTTAGTAGAAGAAAGGACAACGTCCAAGGGTGCTAACGTCACATGCTTTGACTTTTAATTTAATCACAATCTTTTAAAGATTTCCACTGCTGCTGCGAGCAAATCATTTGCAAAACTGCAAAGGGATAATTCCTCATGAGCCACTTTTACTTTTTTATGCCTTTTATCAATTACTGTATTTTTGTTAAAAAAGCTTAATTTCATTCTGTCTTTTTTTATTACATTTATTCTGTTTGGTTGTCATTTGATGACATTTAGTGTGTCAATAGTACACCTAAGATTTATACTCAACTGAATGGAATAATCTTTTCCTTTTTCAGTAGCGTGTGTAATATGAAAGACATGCAAGAGACAAATGAAGGGTGACACAGACACCATGAATCAGATGGAGAAAGGTGCATAATTCATAAAGTCTGACAGAGAAAATGTGACTGTGTGACCTGTCCGCTGGGGGAGCATATGACAGGTTGGTACAGGCTGAGAGCGGGCAGCCTCAAGCAGATGGGCCTTATAGCAAGGAGAGGGAACAAGGCTGAGTCACAGTCCACAAAGAAGCTTCTCTGCAAGTTCCAAAAGTTGAAGTCGAGATGAGGAGCTCAAAAGTCGTTGGAGCAAATATTTGACCACCTACAGCTTGAAAACTCCAGTGGACACGAGTGCTCATCCATTGGAAAGTTATGCAGCTTTAGGTAACACTCCGCATTAATAGTCAACCTGACAAAAACAGAATTGTGACAGATAAAAACATGTCTTAGCATTGTTGTCTTCTCCCTGACCGAAAATAGTAAAGGCAGTTCATGGTTTCTTCTGTAATTACGCCAAACAATGTAGAAAAATAATGTACTCAAACCTAGTGATCCAGACACAAAATGGAACTATACAATACAAAATTCACCGCATGAAAAACACATTATTTTGAGGATAGCTCAAAAGTACAAATAGCTACCAAAAAGGTACATAAACTGGTTGCATAACTGAAATACCTCAACGTGTACATGACTCTCCCGTTACTCCACAGCCTCAGAAGACGATTGGGAGTGGTGATCCAGTGGGCGTCAGATTTGCGGGAATTCCTGAAGAACGTGTCAGGAATCCAGATTTTGCCTACCATGTTACTGTTGAGCATGAGCAGCTTTGTTGAGCTGTTGAACTTCAATCTGCTGTCATACCATGTCTGGGCAAAGAAGATGTCAATGGTGTATTCCTGTAACAGATTTAGGAAAAACAACTTTAACAATCTTGGGTGAGTGCAGAGCATTTTCGTCCTTCAATCGGGGCATTGGCGGTTTGATCACCAACTCTGCTCATCCGCATTTCAATATGTCCTTGGGACGATTAACCCCAACGTTTCTCCTGTGACTGCAGTGTGTGAATGTTAGTTACTGATGGGCAGGTGGCTCTGTGTATGGTAGCTCCTGTCATCAGTGTATGAATTGGTGTGAATGGGTGAAGGATGACAGTTGGTGTTAACGTGTTGGGAGTGGTCGGAAGACTAGAACAGAGCTATAGTTTATTAAAGTCTACTTTAATCATTCCCAGAAGAAATATGGCATTTATTTTTGGGCTAGAGAGTGTGACGGGCTGCGGCTCTTCCCTATTTTGTGTGTGGTAATTTTCAGGAGAAGATGACGCAGATCAGGCTTTTCGGTTCCCCAAAGCAGGTTTGGCTAAATCACCATAGCAACACATGGAAAAACAGAACTTAGTTCGCCAGTCCCGCAGGAAAAAAAGGCAGCTCTCTTTCTCATTGATGAAGGAGAGAGTTCTCAGAGATCTTTAAGGCCCGTCATAACATCACAATGACGTCCTGTACGAGCGTTATTGATGCTGAAGACGGGAATCATTTATTTAGATTTTCTCGAGCCGTTGGTTGGTTTATTTGTCGCTTAATAAACTTCTGGATGTTCCATGTTTCATTGCTTCAATTGATCATGTTTGTGATTATGAGCAACAGATATATACTGATATATCACATATAGATATACATTCACACACACAAAAAACTCCTAGTTCTATATGCTCACCTACACATACGCTGATACAGTACATAGATCCTATTCATTCGTATGAATTAGATTCTTTGGGCTTGTTTTCATCTGCAAATTCTGAAAGAAATGAGATCATTATATTTTAGTATAGTTGCATTACATTAAATGAGCCTGCGCCGGAGCTGGGTTATGATTATTTTGCTGACGCTTTTATCCAAAGCGACGTACAATAATTGCATTCTTCCATTGGGTACAAACTCAGGAGAACAAGAAACAAGAAAGTGGAATAATAAAAAAGAAATAGCTACACATACATTCATTGATGATACATGATACAGTCATTTAATACAAAGTAAAAAACGCTTTCCTGAGTAGAAGGTTTTAGTCTTAAAAGAGTCTGTGTTGCCGTCAAGAGGTCAGGGAAACTGTTAAGCGGTGCCGAGCAAAAGGACCGGAGGAGCGGACTGCTTGTAAATCTGATGGTACGGGCAGAGGTACTGTAATTACTGTAGTTCTTGCAGGTAGGGAGGAGCGTTGTGAGGTCGCAACCCCAGAGTGTGCTGGCAGGAGGCCGCAAGGGGGCTCTGAAGAACGCGTCCTCCGGAACCAATCACCAGAATTCTGAACACCTGCGAGGAAGGACGCGTCCTCCGGAGCCAATCACCAGAATTCGGAACACCCACGAGAGAGGAGACCTATAAGAGCAGACTGACGCAGCGAGCACAGTGTGAGGTATTGCAAGTACGCGCCTCCGCTGAACCCCTTTGTTTCTCTGCTTGTATTCCTGTAGAACCAGTGAGCTTCCGTGAATCGACCTTCCGCCTTCCCTTGACTACGAACCTGCCTACTCCCTGGATCAGATCCGTCTCTTGCCTTCCCGTGTCTCCGAACCACTGCCTGTCCCCCGGAGACGGATTCTCCGTACTGCCTTATTCCGTGAGACTACAGATGCCTGTCGTCCCAAATAAACATTGAGAGCTCTTGGGTCTAAGTCTATCTCCTGAGTCCATTCATTACAAGCGTGTCCATTTATGCATTTTTGGGTGAGTAGTATAAAAACCGCATAACATAAACCATTGTTAGATGATGCTCAATTGTATCCGTCGATCAAGCCAGAAGGGACCAGCCAGCTTGTTAGTTTTCTCGGGTGAGAAAATGAAGACTCAATTCTGGGTTGGTAGAAAGAGCTCTTGGCAGCAGTGATAGAAGCAGCAAAAGAGGAGCGAAGAGATTGAAACTCAAGCAGGTGAGGACCTGAGACCGCCCCAACTATAAGCGATATCCAAGAGGAAAAAAACCAAGCTCCACTCTCCTCCTCAGCTTCTGCAATAATTCACATCTTATTAATGCACATCGCTGATTCAGCTTCTTCCCCTGAGTTTTTTTGAGCTTTCTCGCCTCACAGGTCTCCATAGATCATGGTCCTGACTCTTGTCTATCACCGTGGACACCTAACGCATCAAACACCTTACAGTTTTGGTCCCATTATTGTTACTTTCAACATGAATGCACATCACTAGCTTTGTTTCTCCCACAGAGGCTTTTTTGCCTCACAGGTTTTCATAGATTGTGGTTCTATCTGGACCATGGCCCTACTGCCCCTGCCCTCCTGGACCTGGCTGGCCATCGTTATTAATATTGGTCACATTTCTATTACTGTTACCATGAACCAACATTGCTGACTTTGGTTCTTTACTGGACTGGTTAGTTTCTTCCTTATTTCTCCCCATTGAAGGGTTCTTTTCATTTTAAGGGTAGTGTTTTCTGTTCCAATTTGAGGGTTTCGGGACAGAAGATGTTGGATGTGTGTAGGTAGGCTGTAAAGCCTTTTGAGGCCAATTCTTCATTTGTGATTTTGGGCTCTACAAAATAAAATGAATGTCAAAATACAAACTGGTAAAACATATTTTTTTCCATGTACATTCTGGTTTGTTTTACACTAATAAAGGGGAATATACAGTATCATCATACCACGCAAAGGGGAAGACTCACCATGTTGATGGGGTCCACTGGTCCAATGCTGTTGATGTACACAGATGTTTCAATCACTGTTGGCCTCACTGAAACATAACAGAAGACACAGTAGTGACCATTTTTGTTTTTGGGCCTGAGCACAAGTTCTTCTATCGCCCAAGCACTGATGTAGTCGGGATTCATTTGAGAGCCTCGTCTACCTCCTGTGGTAGATAATGAAAATCACTTCAGCAGTAACCCATACTCTTTGGACACATTTGAGCTAAAGCATATTTCCAAAGATACCCTTTACTTGCCTCCAATATCAGGTCGCAGTTTGTTGTCATAGCCCTGCAGAAGTTTGTTCAGGATCAAAGTCACCTCGCTCTCGTAGACCTTCGGTGATAAGACCCAAGTCTTATTTATGGGAACAGCCTCATAGTCTTCTTCTTCCTGTTTACTGGACCCAAATGCTGTACTGTGGAGTAGAAGAAGAAAGAGTTGAATTTTTCAAATTTGTATTGACTGTAACAAAAGGTAACCCCAGACACAGGCACCCTTTGTTATAAAGCAGGGAATGGTATTTGCCTTAGGCTGAGCCCTATATCACACTCATGAACTTTAGGTAGGTTGGGAGAGTTTTTTCTCTTTACCTCTTTACCGCACTAACACAGAAAAACAACCAATCACACACCAGGGCCCTGTTCCTCGTACGTGGCTTACTGAGTTAGCTCAGGCTTTTCGGTTCCCCAAAGCAGCTTTGTCTAAATCACCACAGCAACACATTGAAAAACTTGAACCTGCTCCGGTTCATCTGAGCTGCTGGATCAGTTCATCAGTCCTCATTGATGAAGGAGCGACATCAGTTAGATGAACGTTTTATAGGGAGAGACTTCTCCCAGATCAGAGACCCGTTTAGCCGCCATGACGTCCTGTACGAGCGCTACAGATGCTGAGGACCAGAATCATTTATTCACAAGAAGATTTCCCCGTTACGTGATGAACACCACACGCTGCAGCCGAGCGTCCACTGTCCCGCAGACTGTCTCACTTACTGTCCCGCAGACTGTCTCTCATACTTTCTCACACACTGTCTTACTTACTGTCCCGCAGACTGTCTCTCATACTGTGCCTCAGACTGTCTCACCTACTGTCTCACTTACTGTCCCGCAGACTGTCTCTCATACTTTCTCACACACTGTCTCTCATACTGTCCTGTCTGTATGGTTTTGCAATGCAGAGAACATCTGGAAGGTTTTACACACTTTCACACACGTTTGCGTGTTTCTTGCATTTGCCGACGGTTCTCATTTCACGCGTTTTTGTGCGTACGCATGGGTCCGAGCTTGCGTGAAGGGCCGCACATTTTTCCGTCAAGTTTTCTTTTTATAAATACCAATTATTGCGTAGAGAGCGGCGTACGCCTTCTTTTGTGAGTACGCAACGTTTATGAATGAGGCCCTTGGTGAGGACGCCCCCTGGGCGCCTCCCTAGGGAGGTGTTCCAGGCACGGCCAGCTGGGAGGAGGCCCGGGGAAGACCCAGGACCAGGTGGAGAGATTATATCGAGTCCAGGCTGCCCCATGTTCCATGTTGAAGTGTCCCTGAGCAATGCACCTAACCCCTAATTGCTCCCCGGGCAAAAATGTGAAAAAGCCATGGGTTTAAAGTGTAATGTAAGTCGCTTTGGATAAAAGCGTCTGCTAAATGACCTGTAATGTAATATCTCTGCACTGGCCTGGGAACGCCTTGGGATTCCCAGTCAGAGCTGGTAGATGTGGCCCGGAAAAGGGAAGTTTGGGGTCCCCTGCTGGAGCTGTTGCCCCACGACCCGACCCCGGATAAGCGGCTGAAGATGGATGGAATATCGCAAATTAGCCTCATGTGTCTTTACAGTGTGAACACATGTGACGTCCTCTGTCCAGAAACCTTCACATCGACAGGAAAAACTCCCCAAACAATGAAAAAGTATTTGATGGGGAGAATAAAGGGAAGAAACCTTTAGAGACACAGGACGATCCTCCAGGGACGGACAGACCGCGATGGACGTACAGAATGAACAACGTGAAATATGTATAATACATTAAATTCATCTGACAGAATGATTCAAATGAACATGTTATCTCCTCATATGCCTTCATGATCATCTCCTGCTCGTCAGCGGAGAAAAAGGACGGTCTTCCTTTAAGTTTATTTGCCGCTATACTGTTAAAACAAAACTGGTTTCGGTGATCGACTCTTCCGCCTTCTGATGTAAGACGCGCACACGCAATTATCCTGATGACTGAAGTCTGGTTCAAACTAACGAGACGGTTTGAGCGTCGATCCACCTGCGAGGAACCGAGATAGCCTGATGTCAATCATCTGGGTAATTTGTGCTGGATAATGGGACATTTGATCGACTTTGTTTAACCACGTATGAGGAACTGGGCCCTGTTTCCCCAGAGCACGTGTTTGGACTGTGAGAGGAAACCAGAGTACCAGGAGAGACCCCACGGAGACACAATGCAGACTCCTGGACCTTCTTGCTGTGAGGCGACCACCTCCCCACCGTTCTGCATTGACCAAAAAGATTCAATACATCAGAGGATGTCTATTCTCTATCAAAACCAAGCCGAGTCACAAATAGAGTCACATAAAACAGTATTTCATTGGATTCTTAATGTGTTTCATAGCCTGGTGTTCCCCAGTAAGCTACAAAGTGGCCTCTCACACACGTGACTTATACTGCATTGCTCTCCTCCTTTCTATTACGTCATCTCTGAGAATGGGTTTGTCCTCGTATAAACCACACCCCCTAACTTAATTCCTGCTTCAGTATCAGAATTGACTTTATTCGCTATTTATGTATGTATAATATGACTTGAGTCTCTGTTCTCTCCATACATACCAATAAACAAGAAAAATAAAAGTAAAAAACAAAGACAATATAAAAGGTAGAACGGATGTAAGTATACACATTTATCAGTACATGTGATTGTTTAATGCGATTTTTTAAATGGGCGGCGCGAAAGGAGAAAAAATGGCCTATTCGCCGGACGCTGTCTATCGAGAGCCAATCAGCGTTGAGATGCTCCGCTCGTCATCACCGCCGTCCAGCTGCCACCGCGTGAACACACGTTATGAAACGTCCGCTTACCGGAGACACACACACACACACAGACCGTCATCAGACCGGCCGCTGGTCCGCCTGAAGCCGCAGTCATCCAGACGCGCCTCCTGGTGGAGCCGCTGACATTCCGGCTGTGTGCGGCGACGGATGACGTCATGAACCCGAACACGACACGTTTGTGTAATTCACACAACAAATAAAGAGCAGAAACGCTGGTTATTTATTGTCATGGTGGAAACGATAAGTGTCTTTACGGGAAAAGCCGAGGAGATAAGCCACGCCCCATTTCCGGAGCACCTTTGTGAAATCGTAACGTTTAATCTGAGGTCAGAGACACTGGAGTGAGACTAGTGTTACAACAGTACTTTAGTTAGAGGACATGAGGGGACCTGGACCTCATTGAGACTGTTTATTGTAGAGTTCATCCATCTGCTGACTCCACAGTCACTGCGTCATAGGGTGAAACACTACAAAGCCTTTTCAACTCCCCTCTGCTCCGAACAGGGCGTAGCATGATCAAACATGTACCATCTGTAACTTGTTCCCCAGGACGAAGGGGAACCCTGAGGGATTGTTACTGATTAATAACAAATGAATCAATAAGTCTTTGCATTCTGAGAATCACCCCAGTAGTCAAATCAAGCATCCTCTGCTTCAGCTGCTGTGTGACAGACCCTCTGTTATTAGTCTAAACGCGGTGTTCCCCCAATAAACACCAGTCATTCATTTCCCAGTAGAGTTACACAATGTTACACAACTCTCTCACCAGTCACAATGAAGGACGTGCAATGGAGAGGACAACATGTGTCTCCGTGGACCAATCCAGCCGGCTCCCGTCATGCTGCTTCACATCATTACACACTTACCAGAGTCCGAGTGCCAAAAGCATCCCGGGGTTCATGGCTTCTGACAAACCGCTGCTTCTCCTTCACACCTGGCAAACGAACTTCACGCTGTCCGCGAGAGAAGAAGTCTGCGTGTTTTGGTCGTCCGCTTGCTTCTCCATAGCCGCTGAGGGAGGGATGTGAGAAACGCTTACACAGTGTGAGGGGAGGAGGGGGAGACGTGCCGGATGCTGACTCTGCTCCATTCTGCCCGACGCAAGCATCTGGGTGCATGATGTCTAAATGATGCTGGTAGATTCATTATAGTCACTTTTCCATTATTCACACCAACGTGTGTCTGCAGATGAAGCCTGAATCCGGTTTGAAACTGCTGCAAACGGCTTAACTCACTTATGAGAGATTTAAGATCCAAATCCAACCTTGGATTCTCATTGGAGGAGAGCCAGTATCTTCAGAAGAAGATAAGGATCTAAGCCCCGCCCCGTTGGTATTTCCTGGTTTCAAGGGATAAACTCCCTTATTGTTGTAAATTGTTTGAATATTTGTTTGATTCCATAAGAAATTGAATTAATGCTGCTTATTTGAATAGCTAACCTAACAGGAAGTGCTTTTAATTTGTTGATCGACAGGAAGTAGCATGACGTTGTCTTGGCTTGATGTGATCTATAACATGTGAACCTGTATCGTTTTGAGACGGTGACTGTAACAAGCAGAGCGATCCGTGCGGTTGTTTAGCTGTAATGTTCATCTCTTATTGTGTGTGTCTGCAAAGCGCTGACTGTAACATCTGTAGCTTCTGTTCCACGCTGCTGTTATTCACGTCAGTAGCTTAATTGCCGCCTGAATCTTCGTTCACAAACCAGTAAATGTTCCACTTCCTGTACGTTGCTACAGAGGCGCCGCTCGTCTCAATGTCCCGTTGGGGACGACACTGAAGCCCAACGTTGCTCCCGTAGCGTGACTGATGGGCAGGTGTCACTGTACGTCCCAACTGAATTGTCGGATGATTAGAAAATGAAGACTGATCAACAAGTACAGTCCATTCACCATCTACATACAACAACCCGGATCTCATTGTTGATGATTATGTTCGTAACTTAACCATCAAACTTCATTTAGCTGTCATATACGGTGTCACCATATTCTATGAGAAATGCGTTTTCCTGGAACTGTTTGTGCAGATGTGTACTGGGGTACAGCTACCCGGCCCAGTGACATGCGGGGAGCATCTTAGCATGAGGCCACACGGCAGCAAACGGTTGAATATCAGGACGATAAAGCAGGAGAATCAAAGGCGTTGGATTCGCTGGTAAATCCTCCAACGAGTGTCCAGTCGGGTTTTGCTGCATATTCTAAATTCTATTCCATGAGACACCAGTCAGCCAGCACTTCCTAGTCCTAGTTAATGGTTGTATGTATGTTTAAATATTGCTTGTAAGAGCCCGTGAATATTGTTTAATTGGACTTTGATATAGAGGACATTATATTGGATATATGCGTTTTATTTACCTGCTTATCTGGACGTCATGTTTGCAGCAGGTACAATCTAGATGAGCCGATTTGGCACTAAGGCAGTTAGTGGGACAGGAGGTGCTTTTTGTGTATTTGGTAAACGCTTTTTGCTGCGGAAATAAACACCAAACGCAAAGAAGTGAAAGATCTCTTCATATGCGTCAAGACACAAGACTCCGTGTGTCTGCAGCTCAACTGGGGCTTAAGAGTGTTTGTGACTGATTATATGAGTGTTGATTATGTTTGTTTTGTTGGATACATTCATTTCTATTATCTTTGTATAAAGTATAATTTTCTTGTTTTTTGGCATTTTGTTTTTGTGATAAATTATAATCCTACAATAGGAGTAGGAGAGCAGATTTGTGGTTGATATCAGAGAAGAAGGCAAAGGGCACATGGGCAGGCGGTTGGTTGGTTCCAGCTCCTGAGACGTGCTGCAGCATTTCAATGAGCTTCACAACACAGAGGACACATTCAGGTCCACACTGCTTAGAACGTCTTGTTATTAACACCACATCCTGCAGGGGATTGTGGGAGATCAAAGGTCTCATTTCCTAATAATCTCTGATTATAAACTTCGTATTTAGATCAGATTGAACATTTCAACACAGGATGCTCTTTTGTTTCTGATCCCTTAAAGAATAAATGCAATAGATGTTTATTTTTCTAGCCTGGTGTTTCAGAATTTCTTACCGTCCTGTCACCATGGATTCTAACACATTTGATTAAAACGTTAAACATGACAAAGCAGTGTAGAAAGGTGATTATTAAAAGGATTTACTAAGAGCATAACATGATAATGCACCTATACATCCATTCAGTGGGCATTGAACGTTCACCAGGAAACAAAACGGTTACACTTAACGTAAAAAGAAAAGACTTTCAATGCAAACCTCTGAATTAAACTGTTTTAAAACTGAATTAAAAAGTTTAAGCTCTCTGATGAATAACCACTGTACAGTTTGCATTCACCAGTCAGGCCCTGGTTCAAAGATGTCCACCTTATTTTTCAATTGTGATGAAATAAAAAGCAATTAATTGGAGCTGCTGGGAATATTACTCTGCAAAGTAGCAATGTTGTGCTGATAATTGGTCCAGATTTAATTTAAATTTCAACGTAGTGTGAATTGCCGCAGATTACACCAGCATCTTCATAATGGGCACAGTTATGTGTCCCCACGCCGGCATGTTTGCAGTCCAGCAGGTTGGACTCTGTGCCTTCACACTGAACATCGTCCAGTAGAATCTGCAGATCCTTCCCCTCCCCGAACTCAGAGTTCTTTGCCGCCTTCAGAGCGTACCTGAAGCCCAGCTGCCGGCATACCACTGCAGCATCTTTGGTGGTCCACAGGTCGTCACACACGGTGCCCCAGTCCCTGTTAACATAAATCTCCACCCGTCCACGGTCGCTGCGGCCCTGTTCATCCCCAACCAGCCTCACTGCTCCATTCTGGAGCCCGGGTCTACTCGGGCTTCTGCTTTGGCCCTGCTTGCGTCTGCCCTTCCGCCTCGAATGTCTTGTTGATTTGGTGGTGGTTGGGGCGGGTGACAGGGTGGTCAGCTCTGGTCCTTCTAGAGGGTCAATGTCAAGGGGCTCTGAGGGTTGTGGCTCAGGCTGGATTGTTTTTGCTGGCTCAATGCCAATTAATGCTGATGAGAAGGATTAAAAAGACCAAACGTGAACGCAAACTGATACAAAACAAATGTAATCTGTAACATGTAACTAGTTTGTCGTGGACTCACTTTCCTCGGGAACAAACTTGATGAGGTTACTTTTCACTCTGACAGGAAGAGAATCATGGTGACATTGTCTTGGGGAAGCTCGTCTGAAAATAATGAACAAAACTGAATTAAAAATAGCTGAAAAAGATGTTGCATTTAAATTGACTGTAGCTCAAGTACCAACAAAGCCGAGGAACTGTTGAATGAGACGAACGGTTGATTTAGGTTCAACCATCTACCACTAAGAGAAATGCCCCGAGCCCTTAGTCCCTGAGGCCGTTTGTAGACTCGGCTCCAAGACTAGAATACCCATAAAAAGTGTAAAAACTAATAATAATAACTAGTTTGTCTATTTGGACAACGTCTTTTCTGTGGAATGAAGAGGAACCCTTGTGAGTGCTGATGTGAAATATCAGTATCCATCACTGTAAAACATGGAGAAACTTCTTCTAAGTCAAAGCCCGGATTGTGGACAGTATGTCATCTCCAGCAGGACCGCTAGCCCCCACCAGTGTCTACACTCACACATGGCTGCTGCTCAGGGCAAACAGCGCAATCTCAATACCCCCGTTGAGTTCAAGCGGCAAATAAATTCAGTGTAACTCATGAACGCATCATCCAGCACAGTAAATGTTAACTACGATCAGTCACTTGTCCCTCCTCATTGAACCCGTGTCTGGTCTGTGAGCATCGATCTGACGCATTCACAGTGTTGAAGAAACTCATGTATGCTGAAACTGAGATCTACCTGAAATAGTTCTGATTGCTCACCTGGAGGGGTCCACCACTTTATAAATGACACCTGAAGGTGATGTGGCACTCGGTATTCTAGTCGACATGAAGTAAAGCTCGCCTGAAAGAAAAAAATACTGACATTACATTAACCTCATGACGTTGCACAGGAGGTTTGAGGGGTTCATGCGTGTTCCTGCGTTACCTGCTTCATCCTCTGCAAAGGAGATGATGTACTGGTGGTAGTTGTTGATGAGGGCGGGGAAGGCACAGGTCAAGCCCATCCCCATACATATCTCATTGTATTTCCATCGCCCCGTGTTTCTGTCCTCCCGCAGACTCATCAAACGCCTGGAAAAGGAATCCCAGCAATAATCTCTGGAGTGCAGTGAACTTTATGATGGATTGTTTAGTGAATGTTTATGCTGTCACTGTTAGGGACTTAAGCTGAAGAGTACGCCACGCCGTAGAAATGATATGTGTGATTAGAACTAGTGAATTGGAGTTTGTGTGTTATTATATTGGTATGTTCAACTAATATCTTCAATATGAATTAAACACAATTTAGTAATATGACATCCAGTTGCAATGTAAATGTAAGAAGTACGCTTAAACCTTCCTTAATGGATTTCTTCAAAATGTTCTCCCCAGTGAAGTTGTTTTTGGAATTCTTTTCTCCCGTCAGGCCGTTTATACGTAGGAAAGCCCTGCAACGCAATCCCTTTGTTTTGGACAATATAAAATGAATTAAACATAATGATTAAAATGTTATGATTTAAGATCTGTTATGATTAGAGTATACTGGCTATAAGATGATGATAATGTTATGGATCCTACGTTATGTTTGCGATGAGGAAGCTTTATGTCGCAGGTGTGCTCATCGAATGTATAGTAACATTAAGTGAATAGGGATTGGTTAGGTCAAGGTGGGATTTTGCATGCCTGTAAATAAAAATAAAATGGACAGTGTGGGAGGAGCTACTTTTTAATCTGCAGCGAACCACGGGACACACACCAAGGACACACCCCGCAAGATTCGAAAAGCCTCTGCTGGAGAAGAGGCAGGCAGACATTACATTACAGGTCATTTAGCTGACGCTTTTACCCAAAGCGACTTACATTGCACAAATTTTTTTTTTACATTTTTGCCCGGGGACCAATTAGGGTTTAGTTGTCTTGCTCAGGGACACTTCGACGCAGAACATGGAGCAGCCGGGGCTCGAACCGCCAACCTTGCGGTTCCCAGCGCACCCGCTCTACCCCTGTGCCACGTCGCCCCCTGCTGAGAAGCCTTAGTGATGGTCATGTTAGACTGGTCCCAGGGGAGTCTCTATTTCGCAAAATATTATACTATTCATACCGTATTTCACTTTGTAATTTTATTGCTTCTGTAAGTTATTGAATCCTTTTTTAATCTTTAAACCCGAGCCAGTTGATTCTTTTCACTCTTCAAAAGAAGCTAAGCCATTGTTCTGCTGTTAGACCCCAAAACTCCCCTCATCATCATCCACCTCGCTCAATCACACTCATCATCATATCATCATCACATCACACTCACCTGTCTACCCTACTCACTCCCTTCAGTATTTAAACACCACTCACTGACTTTCTGCAAGATTGTTTTCCCCGGTATGCCAGACTTTCCCGGAGTTGCCTGCTTGTCTTGGCATACCTCGTCTTGCCCAATGCCCCGGTAACTCACCCAGCCTTCTGTCTTTGACTACGTCTATTCCCGGTGACTCTGAAACCTATTTGTTTGTTATGTGGAAAATAAAGACTTTGATTAGAACTACGGCTGCTGTTTGTCGCTACAGTAATATCTGTCGAGAACATGGATCCAGCAGACGACACCACATCAGTCCTTTGGGTCCCCTCTTCTCTTGCTCTTGCCGATGACACCCAACTAATTCTCTCCTTCCCTCACTCGGATCTCTGCCTGTCTGACTGACATCTCTCAGTGGATCCGCCCACCATCTGAAAATCAACCCCGACAAGACTGAACTACTTCTTGTCGTCTCCCGCCTTGACTCCCTGTCACTGCCATTAGACCTCTGCAGCAGCTGGACTGGTCTTTAACCTTCCTAAATTCTCCCACACTACTCCACTCCTCCGCTCTCTTCACTGGCTACCAGTGGCTGCCCGCATCTAGTTCAAAACATTGGTGCTCATGTAACGCTGTGACTGGATCGGGTGTAGTCTACCGCCCTGGGGCAACCAGCTTGCTCTCCTCATCAAATACTGGTGAGACGAGCAGAGTTTCCCAATCCTCTGTCTGTGAACGACCACTTGTCCACGCACAGCTACAATCACCCTAGGGCTTCCATACAATTTCTGCTTTGCTGGATTCTGGAGCAGATGCGTCCATTATGGACGAGGAACTTATCACACAATTGGGGATGGACCGGATACCTCTTCCCAAGGCTGTTCCAGCCTGCGCCCTGTACAATGACCTTTTTTCGAATAGTGACACCCTAAATCATTCTGGTCCAAATGCTGCTGTCCGGTGATCATCAGCTACCACATCCTGCAAACCCCTTGAACCCCCCTCATTCTGATAGCCCTGGCTGCGTTGACACAATCCTTGCATCAACTGGACTACAACATTTCAAGGTTGAAGCCTGTCCACGAGGTGTCACACACGCCGAGTACACACCTGAACTTAGGGGAGTTCCCACAGAATATGTGGACTTATGGCCATGTCTCTGCCTCCCTATTGTTCATAATATTATGCCATTGACCTCCACCCTGGAAAAATATATTGACAACGGTCACATAAGGCCCTCATCCTCTCCCGTAGGGGCTGAATTCTTTTGTCGAGAAAGAAGGCTCTTAGACCCTGCATCTACTACCGGAGGTTTACCAACATCATGATTAAGAACCATTGCCTACGGTGGCCCTGAAGTGCAAAACACAACGGCAAATAGGAAAACACAACAAAAGTAACTTATTACGGAAAGGGTAGGGCCTTATAGCAGATAGCAGAGGACGGACCCTTCTGATTGGACAGACTGTCTGTCTTTTAACCCTTTTAATCCGAAGCCTTTTCGCCGGCGACGGAAAGTGACATGGATGATTCAAATGACCGTGACTCCTTAACTATTTGCACAATCGGATTCTGAAAGCTGAGAAATGCCGCTTCCTATAAAGACAACGATGAGTCGGCCTACAGAGAGGAGGTCCAGCACCTGGCGGTATGGTGCGCCGACAACAACCTGGCTCTCAACACCAAGAAGACCAAAGAGCTAATTGTGGACTTCAGGAAGAAAACTGGCACACACATCCCCATCCATATCAACGGGACGGAGGTTGAGCGTGTCGCCAGCTTCAAGTTCCTGGGTGTCCACATCTCTGAGGACCTCTCTTGGACCCTCAACACCTCATCCCTGGTAAAGAAAGCACACCAGCGTCTCTTCTTCCTGAGGAGACTGAAGAAGTCTGTCTCCTCAGATTCTAGAGAATTTCTACCGCTGTACCATAGAGAGCATCCTTACAAACTGCATCTCAGTATGGTACGGCAGCTGCTCTGTCGCGGACCGTAAATCACTGCAGAGGGTGGTGAAAACTGCCCAACGCATCACCGGTTCCTCACTCCCCACCATCGAGGCGTCCAGAGCAAGAGATGTCTGCGGGAGGGCACGCAGCTCTCACCCCAGCCACAGACTGTTTGCCCTCCTCCCCTCTGGGAGGCGCTACAGGGTGCTCCGTTCCTGGACCAGGAGGTTCAGGAACAGCTTCATCCCTGCGGCTGTCACTCTATTGAACTCTGCCCCCCCTGAACTCTGAACTCTGCCCCCCACCCCCACACACATCTCCCTCAGTGACTGTACTTCCCCCTCCACACCTGGCTTGACTGCCCCACACCTTCCTCCAGCCACTGAACATTTGCACTGTTATTGCATATCCATTTCTTACTGTTCATATTGCATAACTATTTCTTACTGTACATATCTATTTATTCACTTATTACACTTTACATATGCACATACTCTGCACTTTTTGCTATTTTGCACTTCTGGTTGGATGTTAAACTGCATTTTGTTGCCTCAGTACTTGTACCCTGTGCAATGACAATAAAGTTGAATCTAATCTAAATCTAATGGATCGGGAACCGGAGTCCGATTCCTTGGCGCGAGGAATTGGATGTGTGGCAGGAGTGCGTAACAAGAGACTGAAATGCGTAACTGTCAGAAGTTAATGTCATTGTGTTTGCCACTTCAGGGCCACCGTAATTACCCCTTGCCACTAATCGTCTTCGAGCTACTTCAAGGCGCCACCGTCCTCAAGAAGGGGATGAATGGACAATAGCATTCAATACGCCGAAAGGACATTACGAGTACCTGGGGATGCCCTTTGGCTTAACCAACACCCCTGCCATCGTCCAGGCCGTAGTTAACGACGTGCTCCGACATGTTGGACTGGCACGTATTTATGGCATAAACCATAAAAACTCAAACACGATATCAACTAGACCATGAACCAACATGAGACAAGTGACACATGGTTAAAATACACTGGGAAGGTGAAAGTTATTGACGAAAAAACAATCTGAGACACGGCAGACAATCACCGCAGAAAACACACCACAGCGGGAACTGAAGTTTAGCCAGGCCCTCGAGAGGCAGGAAACTACTAAATAAAACTGGAAACGACCCCACACGTGACACTTACCAGCTCAGCCAAGGGCTGGTCGGGTTTCAGCTTTCTCTGTTCTCTGCGTTGGATGTCTTGCGCTTCAGTGCAGGCTTTCATCCGCTGTTGCAATTAGACCTGGATGAAGGCCCAAGAAGCTCTGCACCTGTCCGCCAACAGCTATTCTGCGGCCAATAGGCCCCGCACTCCAGCCCTCACCTATCCAATCGGTCAGAAGGTGTCGTTGTCGACTTTTGCAGACAGAATTCAAGACACTGGGCCTAAGATTTATCGTTCTATTTGAGATCAAGATCATCTATCCGGCAGCAGTAATACTTAAACTCTCCAGGTCATTGCGCATTCATCTGTTCATACCGTGAAATCTGTCCAGGAAAGTCCCTCAGGGCTTTTCCTCCTTCTCCGCTCCCTCATTGTAAGAGTACCAGTCTACACGATTACCCGCTTGTTACGCTCCCACCGCTGGGTCTTCCATATCTGGTGGACTGGGAAGGCTACAGTTTGAGGACAGACAATGGGGGCTGGCTAATACGCTCAGAGATCTCACTCATCGCAGAGTTTAACAGCCAGCACCCAGACCAACTTTCCAGGGCTAAGACAACTGCCAGTGACTCCAAACGAGCTCCGCGTTCGGAAAATGAAGGGCTTCTCTCCGGTTGCAAGGTTCCCTTCCTCCAGACCCCCTCCTTCCACCCGGCTTGGGATTCTTTCTGCGGCCTTGGAAGAGTTCCAGGTCCTAGGTCCTTACCCTACCCGTTACAGTATCAACAAGTATTGTCTACTATGATTCAGGGTTCTTAAGTACATGTAGACAGCTAGAGATAATTTGCCTTAAAAAGCTTGATCTATGATCAGTGTGTGACCCTCTTTGCTTCCTTTGATTCAAATGGGGAAAAAACATTGTCTTTTAAAGAGAGGAAACCCCAGAATGAGCAACGGAGAAGAGATTCTTCTCCCAGGACGGACAGACAGACATGCAATATATATTTTCTTTGCAGATATACAAACATGATGAAACTAAAGTGGAGACAACCCACTTACTGAATGATACATAGAATGTGAACAAATATGAAGAAATTGATCCTTTTTACACACATTACACAGAACTAGAGCCAGGACCAGTGGTGGAAGTAGGAGTCAGATCGTATGTTTACTTATATTAAGTAAAAATATCAATGTGATGTAAAAACACTAGAAAATTACTGCATTCAAACCACAAAAGAAGTACAAAAGAAAAACTTTTCAGTTCACCCCTGTACCCTGTACCACCACTGTATACGTGGAAGCAATCACGATGCCACTATTTCAAAAAAAAAAAAGTATAGCTCCAAATTCAGAAACTTCTGATTTTGCTATTTTTAATCAAATAAACTACAGTATTTGCCAGATTCAACCTTACCCGCTCATGAAGTCTCCAAATATGTACATGCCGTTCAGGTTGGGGTATTCACAGCCTCGGTACACATAGCCGCCAGTCACGGACTTGCCCATCTTGTGAGGGTACGCGTAAATAGGAAGTACATCGTCTGTGAAAGATCCCAAGGGTCATTATTGGTATTGTTGAGTTTCAACTTCCATTGTCTTTAGTGATTTCTTTACAATGTGGACACTTGACCTAATTAAAATAAGTTTGTTTGAAAGTAGATTTAAAAATGGAAAACAAATATAGTTGCAATAATATCCTTATGCCTAGTGATGACACTGCTAACTATCTGAATGCGGTCAGTGTGGGGTCACTTTTAGGGGTATTTCTTTGCTTTACAGTGTACAGAGAGAACAAGGCAGTTTCCACTATTGAGACTCATTTGAAGGGATTTTTGATGCATCCGGGCCGCACTTTCAGCAGGAGCTGAACTGCTGCATCTGTCACCACCATTTCGATTGTTAAATTTTGTTCATAATAATAACGAACATAATTAAAATGATGCCTGTATAAATCTCTAAATAATGATAAAAATGTCTGGAATTGACAAAACACGGGACTCTTTCCACAGCAAGACGTAAGGTTTTTATTTTAAGATAGAAACATGAATTATTAAAGTAGAAATATTTTTTTTTTTTGTCTGATATCTTAAGACAGCAAATAATTTAGACGATATACTGTAAAAAGATAATTCTCACTGAGCACAGCCAAGCGGCACCCGAGCCACACACAGGCAGTGTGGCAGAGGTTGTGGGGATACGGGACAGGGTCACAAGGGGGAGCACAGTAATTTCTGGAGGTA